CCCCGTCTTCCAATTCGCTTTCTTTTCTCCTTATTCGCTGGCTGTCTAACAGTGGTTTTCCCCAGGAGCTCCAAGCTGTCTGGTTGCCCTTTCTTGTCTCCTTGGAGCAGCTACTGCTTCACCCATCACCCATGTGCTGTTTTACTAAACCTGTACTACACCCTGTCTTCCAAGTTCTCGGTTATATAGCTGCCTTCCAGCCAATGCCTTCAGAATAGTCTGTGAACATTTTAGACTTGAGTACAAAGAATTGGAAATTTCCATCTTCATTTAATGCCTTCCTCCTGTGATCCCTATTTCTGTAAATGACATCATCTCACAGTTCTCTGTGCTTAAAGATCTTGGCATAATTTTCTTTTCTTTAAAACATTTTTGGCCTGGGTGCGGTGGCTCATGCCTGTATTCCCAGCATTGTTGGAGGCCCGAGGCGCGGGTGGATCAGCTGAGGTCAGGAGTTCGAGACCAGCCTGGCCAACACAGTGAAACCCTGTCTCTACTAAAAATACAAAAATTAGCTGGGTGCGGTGGCGGGAGCCTGTAATCCCAGCTACTTGGGAGACTGAGGCAGGAGAATCACTTGAGCCGGGGAGGTGGAAGTTGCAGTGAGCCGAGATTGCGCCATTGCACTCCAGCCTGGGCAATAAGAGTGAAACTCCGTTTCAAAAAAAACAAAACAAAACAAAACATTTTTCCCCCTCTAATTACAGAGCAGTACATATTTTAGTAAGAATTTCAAACACTACATATTTTAGAAAATGAAATTTCCTTTTTTTTTTTGAGATGGAATCTAGCTCTGTCACCCAGGCTGGAGTGCAATGGCAAAATCTCAGCTCATTGCAACCTCCGCTTCCCAGGTTCAAGCGATTCTCCTGCCTTAGACTCCCGAGTAGCTGGGATTACAGGCACCTGCCACCATGCCAGCTAATTTTTGTGTTTTTAGTAGAGTCGGCGTTTCACTGTGTTGGCCATGCTGGTCTCGAACTTCTGACCTCATGATTTGCCTGCCTCGGCCTCCCAAGGTGCTGGGATTACAAGCATGAGCCACCGTGCCCGGCCAGAAAATGAAATTTATTTGTAATCTCATCCTTTAGTAATTACATAGTTTGGTCTATGATGATCTAGGCTAGTATTTAAACCAAAAATACCACACCCGCAATAAGAAAATCCATTTTACATCATGACTCAATGTAAATTTGTATATGCATATGCATCTGAAACAATACTGCCATAAGACAATATTTACCCTTTGTGATATACCCTGGTATGTTCCACTCTATTCCATTAAAAACAAAGTGTGGCTGGGCACGGTGGCTCACGCCTATAATCCCAGCACTTTGCGAGGTTAAGGTGGGCGGATCACTTGAGGTCAGGAGTTCAAGACCAGCCTGGCCAACATGGTAAAACCCCGTCTCTACTAAAAATAGAAAAGTTAGCTGGGCATGGTGGTGCACGCCTGTAATCCCAGCTACTCGGGAAGCTGAGGCACAAGAATCACTTGAACCCGATTCAAGCAGGTGGAGGTGGAGGTTGTAGTAAGCCAAGATCATGCCATTGCACTCCAGCCTGGGTGACAGAGTGAGACTCTGTCTCAAATAAAATAAAATGAAAAATAAAAACAAAGCTAATTGCAACCTGTTAAAATTGCTTTCATGTCCCACTAGTAGGTCGGAACCCATGGTTTGTAACAGTGATTATTCTTTAATGGGGTCTTTGTGTATTGGTTGTAACCATATGAAACTATTTTTGCTGTTCCTGTGCATGCCTATTCTGTTTCCCATTTGATCTGCTCTCTAGATTTGTCTGTTCTTCCATCACCATTTAGGCATCTCTACCCACTTAGAAAGACTTTAAGATGCCACCTTCTCCAAAAAGCCTTTTCTGATTTTTCTCCCAGCCAAAAGAATTATCTTCATCTGCATACAGTACTATAATAGTACCTATATGGAGCTTCATAGTATTTACTGCTTTTATTTATTTATTTATTTCTTAAGAGATGGAGTCTCTGTTGGCCAGGCTAGAGTGCATGGTAGGATCATAGTTCACTGCAACCTCAGACGCCTGGCCTCAAGTTGTCCTTCTGTCACAGCCTCCTGAGTAGCTGGGACTACCAGTGCACACCACTACACCCTGCTAACTAGAAAAAATTTGTTTTTAAAAACAGGGTCTTGCTATGTTGGCCAGGGTAGTCTGGAACTTTAGGCCTCACGCAATCCTCCTGCCTCAGCCTCTCAAAGTACTTGGATTACAGGCATGAGGTACCACATCTGGCTGTTTACTGCTTTTTTTCTTTTTCTTTTTTTTGAGATGGAGTCTCACTCTGTTGCCCAGGTTGGAGTGCAGTGGTGAGATCTTGGATCACTATAGCCTCTGCCTTCTGGGTTCCAGTGATTCTCCTGCCTTAGCCTTCCAGGTAGCTGGGATTACAGGCATGCACCACCATGCCTGGCTAATTTTTGTATTTTTAGTAGAGACGAGGTTTCACTGTGTTAGCCAGACTGGTCTCGAACTCCTGACCAGGTGATCCTCCCACCTTGGCCTCCCAAAGTGCTGGGATTACAGGCATGAGCTACCAAACCCGGCCTGTTTACTGCTTTTTAAAAGCAGCAGTTGTAATTAGTAGGATACTTTAATATTTATCAATATTTTTCATGGATATTTTCTCAATTAAACCCTATAGAGAACCTAGCATAGGTAGTCTGTGTTAGCATATGACCCCATGGCAAGTCATTGCCAGAACCCACGTTTTCTGATTAGGAATTCTGCAGTTTTCCCGGCCACTATGTGTATCTCCCTTCCCCTGCACCGCCCGGCGTGGTAACATCTTCCAGGTGCTATACAAATGTTCAGAAGCATTACAATTGTCATTGTAAGAAAATCATGTCATGAGCCAGCTAAGGCTAAGGCTGAAAGCTCTGTGGCATGATGTGACAAGGTGGTCCATCTGGATTCAGTGGACCATATTGCTCATGAAAAAGATGACTTGTAGGCTGGGTATGGTGGCTCATGCCTATAATCCCAGCACTTTGGACGGTTGAGACAGGAGGATCACTAGAGGCCAGGAGTTTGAGACCAGCCTGGGCAACATAGTGAGACCCCATCTCTGTAAAAAATAAAATAAAAATTAATGGTAGCTAAATAACTCATGAAACACAAAGATGGGAAAAGAAAGGCCAGGTGCGGTTGCTCATGCCTATAATCCCAACACTTTGGGAGGCTGAGGTGGGTGGATCACTTGAGCTGTGGAGTTCGAGACCAGCCTGGCCAACATGGTGAAACCCTGTCTTAAAAAAAAAGGGGGGAACAACAGACACTAGGGTCTACTTGAAAGACGAGGATGGGAGGAGGGAGAGAAGTAGAAAAGATAACCATCGGATACTGGACTTAACTGGGTGATGAAATAATCTGTACAACAAACCCCCATGACATGAGTTCACCTATGCAACCAACCTTCACATATGCCCTCAAACCTAAAAGTTTAAACACACACACACACACACACACACACACTAGTTTAGGGAAAAAAGTAATCACAATGCTCCCACCCACACATTGTAACTATTAACATTTTCAAGTACTTTACTCAGTCTCTTACCTATGCATTTATTTTTCTAACTATATATACACGTATATAGGTATATATTCATATTGCTGTATTTATTGATAAACTAAAACTGGGATCATAAGATGTGTGTATATATATATATATAAAAAACTTTTTTTTTTTAAATAAAAAGCACAAAAATACAAAAAATTAGCTGGGTGTGGTGATGAGCGTCTGTGGTCCCAGCTACTAGGGAGGCTGAGGTGGGAGGATCACTTGAGCCCGGGAGGTGGAAGTTGCAGTGAGCTGAGATCTTGCCACTGTACTCCAGCATGAGTGACAGAGTGAGACCCTGTCTCAAAAAAAAAAAAAAAAAAAAAGAAAAATCTCTTGTAGCTAATAGGATATGCCTATCTAATTCTACTTGAGTCACTACTGGCCCTTAAGGTGACTAGGGCTCATAATCCTGGGAAATGTGAACCAAGATGGATCCAGGGATGAAGTCTGACTTTTTTTTTTTTTTTCTCTGACGTAATCTTGGGATTATAGGCATGCGCCACCACGCCCTGCTAATTTTTGTGTTTTTAGTAGAGATCAGATTTCACCATGTTAGCCAGACTGGTCTCGACCTTCTGACCGGGTGATCCGCCCGCCTTGGCCTCCCGAGTAGCTGGGACTACAGGCGCGTGCCACCAGGTCTGCCTAAATTTTGTATTTTTAGTAGAGACGGAGTTTCACCATGTTGGTCAGGCTGGTTTCGAACTCCTGACTTCGTGATCTATCCAATTTAGCCTCTCAAAGTACTGGGATTACAGGCATGAGCCACCGCACCTAGCCGAGGTCTGAATTTTAGTGCTTGTGTGGATATTGCTGTAGCACATAATGAAATATTTTTGAATTGTTTTCTTTCTTTTTTCACTTTAGCTTTTTGTAAAGAGTTTTATCAACTTGCTTTAGGACGGGCTCTGTGGCTCGGGCCTGTAATCCTAGCACTTTGGGAGGCCGAGATGGGCAGATCCCCAGGTCAAAAGATCAAGACCATTCTGGGCAACATGGTGAAACCCCGTCTTTACTAAAAATACAAACATTAGCTGGGCAGGGTGGCGCTCGCCTGTCATCCCAGCTACTCGGGAGGCTAAGGCAGAAGAATCCCTTCAACCCGGGAGGCAGAGGTTGCAGTAAGCTGAGATCGCGCCACTGCACTCCAACCTGGTGACAGAGCGAGACTCCATCTCAAAAAAAAAAAAAAAAAAAAACCCAAAAAACAAAAAAAGTCGTAATTTGGGGCTAACTAGTTTTAGTAGGTTTCTGCCTGCCGTCAATTGCTTCAGATTTTCTAAATTCTTTTGGTTCCCTTTGTGTTTGTGAAGGTGAAGAGGCAGTAGTCAGGCGTGTTATTAGATCAGGCCCCGCCAGCCCGGTGGAAGCAACGTTTGCGTGTGGCCGGCCGCCCCTTGAAATCCGGCCTTCGCGCTCCGGCGAAGCCCCCGGGGCACGGGACCGAGGGCCCAGCACTCTGGCTCCTCACACCCGTGGTTTCCATCACGTTCCTTTCCTTCTTGCGGTCCCAGCGGATGCGAGGAGGCTTAGAGACAGGGGGCTTGTTCTTCCGCCCGCCAAAGGCTCCGCGGGTCCCCGCCCGACCTGGGGCGCCGCTCCCCCTGGGGCCGCCCGGGCGCCCTCCCGCCGCCGGGGGCGCTGTGGGCCGCAGCGGGCCTGGCTGCAGATGCGGTGGTGGCCGCGGAGCGCCTGGAGGGAGCTGCTGGCCAGGCCAAGGAAGCCCCCGCCCGAGATCGCGCAGCCGCCGCCGCCGCCGCCGCCATGGGTAAGGCGAGCGGGCCGAGACCGAACGCTCGGCCCTCAGTCGCGGGCCGAGGGCTCCGGCCAGGCGGGGTGGACCGTGAGCTGTGGGAGACGCCGAGGCCGGCAGTCGGAACTGGGGCCCGAACCCGGGATGGGCGGGGACTGCCTGGGACTCGGGGGCTCCCGGGGTCGTCATGGCAACGTGCCCCCTCCCTTGTTCCGGCCCGTTCCCGCCCAGGTTCTGAGGCATAGTGGCCAAGGGCTCGAGGTGCCACGGCGTCCAGGAGCGAGGACTGGGCCGGGCAGGGTGTCACTCCGGAGTCGGGGAGCAGTCGGGGAGGGGCGATGACTTTTCAGGTTTGGGGGTGGCGGAGGGAAGACGCATCTCAGGTTTTGGCCTGGGTGCCTGGCGCCGAGGGCGGGAGACGGGGAGTGCTGACGCGCAGGAGCCTGGGTGAGCCCGCCGCGATGGTCCTGGGGGGCCCCAGGCCTCTGGGCAGCCTTGCTGGGGGGAAGGGGCAGGAAGAGAAGCAGGGAAGGGGTTGGTCCTGGCAAGGTGCGGGCACTGGCCCTGGGAGTCCTCGCGCGCCTGCGGCCGGGTTTGGGGGTCACGTCCCAGCCGGAGGAGTCCGGGAGCGCAGCCGGGGCGTGGCCGCGGTGTGAGCGCCCCTCGGCGTGGGAACTGCCAGTGCCCAGCACCGATCTGCCTCCCAGCAGCTGCAAAACACCCTTTGTGTGGTTGTGGCATCGCACGTTAGGAATTATGATGGGCTGTGTTAAAAATGAGAGTTGCCACGGATTATGAAACATCAAGTGGTTTCACTCCCGAAAAGTAGTGGGAGTCAGACCACGATGCAGATTTAAAGGAATGTCGTGTGTGGACATTTTTGCACCAGGCAGTTTGGCCACAGCAGTTGTGGCTGTTTGCATTTTAGGTTGCTTAGGATTCAGTGTCAGTCTTCATGCCTAGCTATCTAGAAATCAGAGCTAGAATACTAGATCTTTGGAGACTCTGGGTTTTGTTGTTGTTGTTCAGTGAAGGAAAAACGGACACATTGATGACTTGTACATTTGTCAGAGATTATGAAGTGTTATATTAAGTGCTTTGTTTTTCCACACCTTAGTTTTGTCATCTGTGTTTGTTGAAGGTATTTCCACCAGTCACAACAGTGACGAGATGATGGGGAAGCGTCTGAATTTCTAAGTAAACTGAGAATAAAATTTGTGGGAAGGAGGACAATAGTTTTGTGAATTGAAAACATCTTGCTTGATGATACTGTGTCTTAAAAATATCAATTAAAAATCAGGCCTTTTGGAATATGCATCTATTAACTTGGTATTCAGACTGGTGCTGTGGCCTTCCTCAACTGTGTGGATGGCTGAGAAGCATTAATGTAAAACTGGTCTCTGCTTTTCTCTTTGAAAATAAAACAGTCATACAATACAGAACTACAGTCAGAATGAAGAAGCCAGACAGAAAGAGGATAGACTGAAAGAATTGGACGGCTTCTCCTGTCTCCCCTTACTTGTCAGTGTATTTTACCTATCATGTTTGTTGTGGGTGACAGTGGAATCCTAGAATTTTAACTACCTTTATTTTATTGCCAGTTTATTCTGAACGTTTTTGCCTTGGAATTCATCCTTAGATGGTACCTGCTATTCACCTTTTGCATGAGGCCCTTAAACATGTTGTCTTTCAGCCCAAATTTATCTCCACAGAAGGTCATTTTAAAAACTCATTCTCTATGAAGAGGTACCAGGAAAGTTAAATAAATACAGGAGAATGACAGATTTGCAGGATCTTGAGAATAATTCATAAACTTTGGCTGGAGTGGTCATGGAGATTTTCTGTTTTCTTTTCTTTTTTTTTTTTTGTGAGACGGAGTCTCGCTCTGTCACCAGGTTGGAGCGCAGTGGCGCGATCTCGTCTCACTGCAACCTCTGCCTCCTGGGTTCCAGTGACTCTCCTGCCTCAGCCTCCCAAGTAGCTGAGATTACAGGTGCACACCACCACGCCCAGCTAATTTTTGTATTTTTAGTAGAGACGGGGTTTCACCATGTTGGCCAGGATGGTCTCAATCTCTTGACCTCGTGATTTGCCTGCCTCGGCCTCCCAAAGTGCTGGGATTACAGGCGTGAGACACCGTGCCCGGCCGGAAATTTTTTACAGTATATGTGAGAGACATAAAGAGAAGTTAATCAAGGGTGTAGTTTAGCTGGGGAGAATTTGTCAACCAAGGAACAGCAAACTACTGTTGGTTTTTATAGGAGAAGGGAAGGGTTTGTGTATTTTTTTCATTGTCATGTCTTGCAAATGATGTTGGATTCCTTTCTTGTGTTTTCAGCTACAAAAGACCCCACAGCTGTAGAGAGAGCAAACTTGTTAAACATGGCTAAACTGAGTATCAAAGGACTCATTGAATCTGCCCTGAGCTTTGGCCGCACTTTGGATTCTGATTATCCCCCCTTGCAGCAATTCTTTGTTGTTATGGAACATTGCCTGAAACACGGTCTTAAAGGTATTGTGAGATTTAAAAAAATTAATTCATTTTAGAATTTCCCTTTTTCCATTTTAAGTGCCCTTGAGAATGGGTTATTTTTTGAGGCCATAACTACTATTACTATGAACTAAAAAATATTGAGTGGATTGATTTTGGGAGAAAATATCTCTTTATGTTTTCTAATAATGGTCTAATAATGATCTTCAGAAAATGCTTAGTTGTTAATGTTTTGTAAACAGAATATTTGATTTTTAATTTTTTTAAACTTACATAATCTGAACTGGTTTCTGTTTTCTAGGACAATTATAGAGTTATATTTTAAAGCTAATGATACTGTTATGAGCTCATTAATACTTCAAACCCTGTTGAAAAGTGCATTGAAATAGTAGATTGTTGAAATAGAAACCTCCTAGATACATACACGAACATATGTAGAAATATCTTCTGGATGGAGTTATTGTAGAAATGTGAGCCATCCCTGAAGATGATAACAGCAGATATTGTATTCTACTATCAGCACATATTGAATTATTGTTACATATAAAATGTTTGTTTTATATTTACTTTAAAATATTAATTGCATAATAACTGTGCTTTTACTTATAATAATTGTTCACAGTTTTGGCCTCTAGTTCATATGATGAGTATCTGTGTAGAGGGCTGTGTAAGAGTTGTACACTAGAGTGACTATTATAGAGTAAAAGAAGCTTGACTGGCTGGACATGGTGGCTCATGCCTGTAATCCCAGCATATGCCTGTGGTCCCAGCTATTCGGGAGGCTGAACTGGGAGGATCACCTGAGCCTGAGAAGGTCGAGGCTTCAGTGAGCTGTGATTTTACCACTGTACTCCAGCCTGGGCAACAGAGACCCTGTCTCAAAAAAACAAAAACAAAAACAAAAAAACCAAAGATTTACCTAAACCTTGTTTTAATAAAAAGTACTTCAAAACAAGAAGGAAGCCTTGACATCAAAATTTGAGAAAATCCTATGTGATGTTATTAGCATACTCGTTTCTTTTTCTTTAAAGACTTAAAGCAATTTCTTCAAATATATAAACACTAGCAAAATATACTCTTTCTGTACGTGAATCAAACAACAGAGAAGTACACAGAGCAAAACACAGTTTTTATTCATTCTCTTTTATTAATTTATCTAAAGGAAATTGGGCACCTGTAATCCCAGCACTTTGGGAGGCTGAGGCGAGTGGATCACTTTGAGGTCAGGAGTTTAAGACCAACCTGGCCAGTATGGTGAAAACCCGTCTCTACCAAAATATACAAAAATTAGCCAGACTGGTGATGTTCACCTGTAATCCCAGCTACTCAGGAGGCTGAGGCAAGAGAATCGTTTGAACCTGGGAGGCGGAGGTTGCAGTGAGCTGAGATTGTGCCACTACTCTCCAGCCTGGGGCTACAGAGTGAGACACTGTCTCGAAAGAAAGAAAATGGGAGAATTAGATATTCTCTTATCCCTTTTCTGTTTTTTTTTTTTTTTTTTATTCTAATTGTACTCATGCTATTATTCTGTGACTTCCTTCTTTTAAAAAAAAAAATGGCTGGGTGCAATGGCTCATGTCTGTAATCTCAGCACTTTGGGAGGCTGAGGCCGACAGATCACTTGAGGTCAGGAGTTCGAGATCAGCCTGGCCAGCATAGTGAAACCCCATGTCTACTAAAAATACAAAAATTAGCTGGATGTGGCACTGCATGCCTGTAGCCCCAGCTACTTGGGAGGCTGAGGCAGGAGAATTGTTTGAACCTGGGAGGCAGAGGTTACAGTGAGCTGAGATCGTGCCACTGCACTCTAGTCTGGGAGAGAGAGTGAGACTCTGTCTCAAAAAAAAAAAAAAAAAAAAAAAAAATAATATAGCTTGGCGATCTTTCCATTTACATAGATGTCTATATCAGAATTATATCAGTATATATATGGCATATTTTATTTAACCATAACCATGCTCCTCTTTTTTTTCTTTTTTGAGATGGGGGTCTCACTCTGTCACCCAGGAGTGCATCTTGATTTTCCCCAAGCCTATTGAAATATAGTTGCCAAATTATAGCCAAAATAGTTAAATTTAAAACTAGTTTTAGACTGTATTATCCTTTACTTCACAATATATGTTGAACCATGTCCTAGCAGTTATAGGCTTATCTGGATAAATCATTGTAAAGCTACTTTGTGTGTGTGATTTTTCTACCCCCGGGAAAAATTGCCTATCTTGGTTATCCTCGGGTGGTGTATATGATAGGCACCCTTTTTTGCAGGAGATCTGGTCAGTAATAACAAATAAATGTATGGCAATTTCATGGTTTTATATTGACTAAATCTCAGAATAAAATACAAGGAAAAGGAAAGTAACAATTTTTCATATTTAAAATTAAAATAACTTCTTAGGCCGGGTGTGGTGGCTCATGCCTGTAATCCCAGCACTTTGGGAGGCTGAGATGGGAGGAACACTTGAGGCCAGGAGTTCAAGACCAGCCGGGTCAACATAGCAAAACTCCATCTCTACTTACTAAAAAAACAAAAAGCAAAAGCATTATTATAAAAAATAAAATAACTTTTTATTTGTGCTATGTTTATTTAATAAACTTATAAAGATCAATCAGCTAGGGCCACTAGCCTTTATTTTGGTACTGGTAGAGAATGAGTGCAGTTATTTTTCACTTTAATTGCCTGACTGCCTATTTGATATGAAAGAATGGTCACTGTGCCTTTTTATCATGCAGGAAAAAAATAGCAGGATGGGCAACAGGATCCTACTTGCACAGGCTCCGTATCCACTGGGATATGTAGTGGATAAAAGAGAGGAAAGGTCTCTGAATAATTGTATGTTAAGTTAGAAATGTTGAAACTAAATATTTAAAAATAAGTTACTACAGTTTTATATGTTGACATTGTGTGTATTATGTGTTTTATGTGTTCTTTTTTTCAGTAAGAAAATCATTTTTGAGTTATAACAAAACCATCTGGGGCCCTTTGGAACTGGTGGAGAAGTTGTACCCAGAAGCAGAGGAAATAGGAGCCAGTGTCCGGGATCTGCCTGGTCTGAAGTAAGGAGGCCTATTACTTGTTCATCCCTAGCCACAGAAGCGTATTCATTGTACCTCCAGAGTACCTCACACTCTAGCTTATTGTCTTCTCTTAGTCTTAAGTCCCCTTTTTCTAATCCTCTTCTAATAAAATTATGTTCATTCTTTATGGCTCAACTCAAATCCCATTTCCTTTATGAAGTTTTTCTTAGCCCCTTCAATCAGAATTAACCACTCACTGTTCTGCCTTGTATTGTAGGAAATTGAAAGTCCTTTTAAGATAGGATATATCAATTATGCATCTTTGTTTTCTGAGTGTTAAATTAGTTTGACTGTAGTAGAAAGTCAGTAAGTGTTTGATAAAAGACTGATTTAGGCTGAATCCAGGGCACAGGCTCAGGAGATTCCAGTTCTCAGATAAGCCACTTATATACCCTAGGACTGGTGTAAATTACTGTGCTTCCTCTGAAAATTGGTACCTATAATGTCACCAGCCTGTTTCATCAGACAAATGTATGTAAAATATCCTAAAAGTTGGAGTATGTTAGCTAAGAACTCATAAGTATTGAAAATTTTTTATAGGTATAAAGTGTTAAGACTCAGTTCTTATATTCTTTTTTTTTTTTTTTGGAGACGGAGCCTTGCTGTGTCGCCCAGGCTGGAGTGCAGTGGTGCGATCTTGGCTCACTGCAACCTCAGCCTCCTGGGTTCAAGTGATTCTCCTGCCTCAACCTCCTGAGTAGCTGGGACTACAGGCACCCGCCACCACGCTGGGCTAATGTTTTTGTATTTTTAGTAGAGATTGGGTTTCACCGTGTTAGCCAGGATGGTCTCGATCTCCTGACCTCTTGATCCACCCACCTTGGCCTCCCAAAGTGCTGGGATTACAGGCGTGGGCCACCGCACCGGGCCTACCTGGCTAATTTTTGTATTTTTAGTGGAGACAGTGTTTCACCGTGTTGGCCAGGCTGGTCACGAACTCCTGACCTCAAGTGATCCACCTGCCTTGGCCTCCCAAAGTTCTGGGATTGCAAGCGTGAGCCACCACGCCAGGCTGCTTTTGTTTTTAATAACAGATAGAACTTGGGTAAGAGAGGTATGAGATTTAATTTCCTAAATGCAACCGGATTAAAGAAACATTTGAAAACCAGTAAGCAGCACAGTGATTTCTCTTTAATTACTAGCCTGGCACCCTCTTAGCTTTGTTATGATTTCTAGTGATTTCTAGAATTCAGATATAAAGTTACCTATGTTTTTGAAGACATTATGGTGCCTTATTGTTGAAACAATTTTTTTTTTTTGAGACTGAATGTTGCCTTGTTGCCCAGGCTGGAATGCAATGGTGCAATCTTGCCTCACTGTAACCTCCGCCTCCTGGGTTCAAGTGATTCTCCTGCCTCAGCCTCCTGAGTAGCTGGGATTATAGACACCCACCACCAAGTTCAGCTATTTTTTTGTATTTTTAGTAGAGGTGGGGTTTCACCATGTTGGCCAGGCTTCTTTCGAACTCCTGACCTTGTGATCTGCTCGCCTTGGCCTCCCAAAGTGCTGGGATTACAGGCATGAGCCACTGGGCCCAGCCTGGTGAAGTTTTAATATTTATTTTTAGAGGGCTAAGCCCATTCAGTCTAAATATTTCTTTTCTTTTTTCTGAGACAGTGTCTCACTCTGTCGCCCAGGCTTGAGTACAGTGAATCACTGTTCACTACAGCCGGTGCCTACTGGGCTTAAACAGCCCTCCTGCTTCAGCCTCCTGAGTAGCTGGGACTACAGGCACATACCTGGCATTTTGATTTTTTAATTTTAATTTTTTTGACTCAATTTTTTTTTTTTTTTATAGAGACAGGGTCTCCCTATGTTGTCCAGGCTGTCCTCTAACTCCTGGACTCAAGTGATCCTCCCACCTTAACCTCTCAAAGTGTAGGGATGACAGGTGTCAGCCACCATGTCCACCTAAACATTTCTTATAGAAGTATTCTCACCACAGTCCTGCACTGCATAACATTTCATTCAATGATAGTGGTTCCATAAGATTATAATACTCTATTTTTACTTTACCATTTCCATGTTTAGATATACAAATACTTAACAATTGTATAGCAATTGCCTACAGCATTCAGTACAGTAGCACACTATATAGGTTTGCAACCTAGGAACAATAGGGTATACTATATGGTGTAGGTGTGTATACCATCTAGGTTTGCAAATGTACACTCCATGATGAAATCACCTAACAACGCATTTTTCTGAACGTATCCCTGTCATTAAGCGACACACTACTGTGTTTAGAGTCATTTTTTCCAAGACATTAAATAGTACCTACATGTCCTACAGGAGGAGCAGATTTACCCAGCTCTCAGGGATTGGTCTGTGTGCTCAAAAAGATAAACCTATAAAAATGAAAACAAGGCCGGGCGCGGTGGCTCAAGCCTGTAATCCCAGCACTTTGGGAGGCCGAGGCGGGTGGATCACGAGGTCAGGAGATCGAGACCATCCTGGCTAACATGGTGAAACCCCGTCTCTACTAAAAATACAAAAAACTAGCCGGGCGTGGTGGCGGGCGCCTGTAGTCCCAGCTACTCGGAGGCTGAGGCGGGAGAATGGCGTGAACCCAGGAGGTGGAGCTTGCAGTGAGCCGAGATCACGCCACTGCACTCCAGCCTGGGCAACAGAGCGAGACTCCGTCTCAAAAAAAAAAAAAAAAAAAAAAAAAAAATGAAAACAAAACCATTATAAAAATGCCCTTCTTCCTTGTTAATGTGTACCTCTCGAGATAGAAGATGTGATCTTTGGGCTAGGGCTGTTTTCTGATCAATTGGTTCTTCTCTTTAGGACCCCTCTGGGTCGAGCAAGAGCATGGCTTCGATTAGCCCTTATGCAAAAAAAAATGGCCGATTACTTACGTTGCTTGATTATTCAGAGGGATCTCTTAAGGTTAGTACTATTAAGTTGTGATCTTTTCATTTTTAATGTTATTTATATGCTGTCTTCCAAAAAGGATTTAAGATATAATATGAAAGGATATGTAACATATAATAAAATGATATAAAATAAAAGGAGGAACAAAATGAGACAGAAAAACATGATGGAGGCATAACATGGATCAGGAACTAGCCTTATATATGAATACCATAAGCTTGTTATCAGCCAGGATGGGGAAATTTATATATATTACATTTCTTCCTCTTTGTTTGAATTTTTTTTCTTTTCCCCTGCCTGGAAACTGCTATATATAGTACATTTCTCAATTAGTTTTATTTTTCTGAATATGGTTAATTCTATGGATAAAAATTTGTGTTGGAATTTGGGGCTTTAATTTCATAGGCTTTTTGTTTTTTGGGTTTTTTTAGAATTTGAATATCCATATTATTGCTTCAGCTGTATTGTGGGCACACTTTAAATTGAAGGCCAAACATTTATTTTGGCTGGGTGTGGTGGCTCATGCCTGTAATCCCAGCACTGTGGGAGGCCAAGGCGGGTGGATCATTTGAGGTCAGGAGTTCAAGACCAACGTGGTGAAACCCCGTCTCTACTAAAAACACAAAAATTAGCTGGGTGTGGTGGCACATGCCTGTAATCTCAGCTACTTGGGAGGCTGAGGCAGGAGAACTGCTTGAACCCGGTAGAGGGAGGTTGCAGTGACCTGAGATTGTGCCACTGTACTCCAGCCTGGGTGATAGAGTGAGGCCCTGTCTCAAAAAAATAAAATAAAATGAAGGCCAAACATTTATTTAAGACAGACTTTTAGAGCAAAGCAATCAGTTCTCCAAGGGAGTGGGCCCATGGTGGCCCTCCATTCATTCTTGTTCTGTTAGAGTTCCTCTCTGATGTTGTGGAGAATTTAGTCCTGGTTTTGGTTTTACTTGTGACTCTGATTTTGCATTGTGGTTTTCCCAGTTGTTAAACAAGAATGACCATACGTTAAGTACCCACAGCTTCTCAGTATTCTGAAGGATAATTAAAGTGATTAAATAATGTACATGGGACTTATTAAAGAAGGCATGAGACAGTGATAACTACTTCTCTGGATGTATGTTGATGAGACTTAGTTTTTGGACCATCGTATTTCTTTCACAACTCTCTTTTTGAACAGTTTTTAGAATGTAGATATCCCAAAGTGTCTTTAATTTATAATTATCTATTAAGATTTATAATACACCTATCAAATGCATTGACTTGAACATGGGCTTTGAAATGTTGCATATGTTCATTTTCCTCGTTAGTCTTTATCCCAAGGTCTTAATAAATCTGAGGATTGAAAGTTCAGCTTTAATAAAATATGTCATAATCAGATCAGCAGCAGTTACTATGTCCGCCTGAGTCAGAAATATCCCAGGGCTTAGTGTTGCCTCTCTTTATTTTTATTTTTTTGAGACGGAGTCTTGTTCTGTTGCCCAGGCTGGAGTGCGGTGGCGTGATCTTGGCTCACTGCAACCTCTGCCTCTTGGGTTCAGGCAATTCTCCTGCCTCAGTCTCCTGAGTAGCTGGAATTACAGGCATGTGCCACTACGCCTGGCTAATTTTTGTATTTTTAGTAGAGGTGGTGTTTCACCATGTTGGCCAGGTTGGTCTTGAACTCCTGACCTCAAGTGATCTTCCTGCCTTGGCCTCTCAAAGTGCTGGGATTACAGGCATGAGGCACCGTGTCTGGTGCCACTTTTTCTTTTCATCCCTTTTTGCTCCTCTTTTCTCTGTCTCAAAACATTTTTTCCTCTTTTATCTCCTTCAGTCCTTTTGATTTTTCAATAGAGACATTTAAATTTAAAAAATATAAAAAGTTATTCACATGTGTAAAGCCTAATTTGAAGGTACCTAACTGAGATGGCTTCCATTTCTGTAAGGTAGAAGATTAGGAAGATAACGGTGATTTTAAATTTTAGTTTTTGAAATAAATTTGTGATTTAAAGTCCTTATTTTTTAAATTCACAGTGAGTTTTATGAGTATCATGCACTAATGATGGAAGAAGAAGGAGCAGTAATTGTTGGGCTGCTGGTTGGCCTGAATGTGATCGATGCTAATCTGTGTGTGAAGGGAGAGGATTTAGACTCACAAGTAAGTGAAAGTGATTAGTGCCAAATGCAGAGTGTTTTCAGTTTGCACAGTTCCTCCTTGATCAGGTGTCATTTGAAGTTGTAAACAGGACTGTTAAACACTAAAGGAATATTAAGAGTGACATTCAGTAAAGGTACTTCTGATAAAGTATTTTCTCCCCTTTAAATAAAAAAAAATCTATCTTTACTTCAGGTTGGAGTGATTGATTTTTCTATGTATTTAAAGAATGAAGAAGATATTGGAAATAAAGAAAGGTATGCTTTTCATAAGTTATTTCACATATTGGGTTTTTTATATAGCTCTTTACAAATCATTATAAGATTCATCTATCTACAGTGTGGTTTTATTTTGTTGTTTTCCCCCCTGTGACTTCTTCATTTCATTTTCACTTCCATTACAAGCTTTACAAAGCAGATTATGGAAAATCGCTTAGGAGAAGGAGATTTTATTAATTGTATGAAGTGGGACCTTTGGTTATAACTGTAGTTTCTGAGACCCATTTTAATAACTGTTTTTTGGAATAAAAGAGATGAAAGCTTATTATTTACAAGTTTGCAAATACTGGTTTACTTCAAGATCGAACTATGTTTTTTTTTGTTTTTGTTTCTTTTTTGAGACAGAGTCTTGTTCTGTTGCCCTGGCTGGAATGCAGTGGTTCGATCTTGGCTCACTGCAACCTCCGCCTCTTGGGTTCAAGTGATTCTCCTTCCTCAGCCTCCCCAGTAGCTGGGATTACAGGCACCCACCACCATGCCTGGCTAATTTTTGTTATTTTTAGTAGAGACAGGGTTTTACCACGCTGGCCAGACTGGTTTTGAACTCCTGGACTCAAGTGACCTACCTGCCTTGGCCTCCCAAAGTGCTAGGATTACACGGGTGAGCCACCGTGCCTGGCCCTAATTATGTTTAAATTTAAAATACACTAATGGTATTGTTAAGTCTATTATTGACAAGTGATTTATTCAACAAAGGTTATAGATTCTTAGTACATAGCTTACTGTTATTCTTATGTTTTATTTTAAAGGCAAGACACTGTTTTATTATTTTAGTTTTATAATAATTTTAGATGATTTAGATTTTTTTTACTTAATAAATACCTTTTAAACTAGCACAAAGCTACTTTTTTGCTCATTTAGGAATGTTCAAATTGCTGCCATATTGGACCAAAAGAATTATGTTGAAGAATTAAATAGACAACTGAAGTAAGTATTATGGATACTTAGCACATTGATGAATATTGTCTTAGGTTTTTGTTTTTGTTTTTTTCCCTTCAGTTCAGCTTACCCTATTCCTTTCTTCTAAGAGTCTTTGAGAAGGGGTTGAGGGGATAGAGAGAAAATGGAAAGTAAGAATACAGATAATTATTGGAGATGATTCATTTTAAGCAGAAAATGAGAGTCAGTTTTTTTTTTTTTTTTTTTTTTTCTTGCCAGGCTGGAGTGCAGTGGCGTGATCCTGGCTCACTGCAACCTCCGCCTCCCAGGTTCAAGTGATTCTCCTGCCTCAGCCTCCTGAGTAGCTGGGACTATAGGCGTGCCCCCCCATGCCTGGCTAATTTTTTTTTTTTTTTTTTTTGTATTTTAGTAGAGATGGGGTTTCACCATGTTGGCCAGGATGGTCTCAATCTCCTGACCTCATGATCCGCCCACCTTGGCCTCCCAAAGTGCTGAGATTACAGGTGTGAACCACCACGTCCAGCCCGAGAGTCAGATTTTAAAACAGAATCTTCATCGGATTTAAATAGAACTTAAAACTTATTGCTGTACCCTTACAAAAAAGTCTAGATAAGGTAAAAGTTTGTATCATTTTGATGATTCAAAAATTCATTTTTCCTACTTCAGAAGGCTTCATATGTAAATGTGGCTGTCTGTCATCATTCTATGGTGGAAGTTTCTGCCTTCTTACATTGTCAACTGGTCATTTTTTTTTTTTTTTTGAGACGGGAGTCTCACTCTATCCCCCTGGCTGGAGTGCAGTGGCCGGATCTCAGCTCACTGCAAGCTCTGCCTCCCGGGTTCAGGCCATTCTCCTGCCTCAGCTTCCCGAGTAGCTGGCACTACAGGCGCCCGCCACCACGCCCGGCTAGTTTTTTTGTATTTTTAGTAGAGACGGGGTTTCACCTGTGTTAGCCAGGATGGTCTCGATCTCCTGACCTCGTGATCCACCCGCCTCGGCCTCCCAAAGTGCTGGGATTACAGGCTTGAGCCACCGCGCCCGGCCGTCAACTGGTCATTGAAGCCATCAGTGAATACTCTTGTTGCGAATTTTTAAGACCTGTATGTAAAATAGTAAAATGCAGTTCTAATAGAAATATACGAGATGCGGCCAGGTGCAGTGGCTCATGCCTGTAATCCCACTTTGGGAGGCCGAGGCAGGTGGATCACCTGAGGTCAGGAGTTCGAGACCAGCCTGACCAGTATGGTGAAACCTCGTCTCTACTAAAAAATAGAAAAAATAGCCAGGTGTGGTGGCAGGCACCTGTAATCCCAGCTATTCTGGAGGATGAGGCAGGAGAATCGCTTGAATCCGGGAGGTGGAGGTTGCAGTGAGTCAAGGTTGTGCCATCGCACTCCAGCTTGGGCAACAAGAGTGAAATGTGAAACTCCGTCTCAAAAGAAAGAAAGAAAGAAAGAAAGAAAGAAAGAAATACATGAGACGCGTAGGTTTTTTTTTGTTGTTGTTTTTGTTTTTTTTGAGACAGAGTCTTGCTCTGTCACACAAGCTGGAGTGCAATGGCACCATCTCAGCTCACTGCAACCTCTGCCTGCCCTCAGGGTTCTAGCTTCCCCCAGGATTCTCCTACCTCACCTTCCCGAGTAGCTGGGATTACCATGCCCACTACCACGCCTGGCTAATTTTTTTGTATTCTTAGTAGAAACGGGGTTTCTCCATGTTGACCAGGCTGGTCTCAAACTTCTGACCTCAGGTGATCCACTCACCTCTGCCTCACAAAGTCCTAGGATTACAGGCATGAGCCACCATGCCTGGCCTTTTTTTTTTTTTGAGACAGGGTCTCACCCTGTTGCCCAGGCTGGAGGGTGGAGGGCAGTGGCACAATCAGGCTCACCACAGCCTTGACCTTTCAGGCTCAAGCGGTCCTCCTGCCTCAGCCTCCAAAGTAGCTGGGGCGACAAGTGTGCACCACCATGCCTGGTAATTTTAGATTTTTTCATAGAGATGAGGTCTCACTGTGTTGCTCAGGCTGGTCTTCAACTCCTGGGTTAAAGCAGTCCTCCCATCTCAGGCTCCCAAAGTACTGAAATTATAGGCATGAGCCATTTTGCCCAGCCACATAGGTAATTTAAAACTTCTGGTAACTACAATAAAAATTAAAAAAAAAAACCCAAAAATTAAAAATATATTTTATTTTACCCAGTATTCCCCAAATATTATTCCAACATGCAATCAATATAAAAAATTAGGGAACAGGCACAGTGTCTCACTCCTGTAATCCCAGCACTTTGGGAGGCCGAAGTTTGTGGATCACTTGAGATCAGGAGTTTGAGACCAGCCTGGCCAATATGGTAAAACCCTGTCTCTACTAAAAAATACAAAAATTAGCCAGGCATGGTGGCATGTGCCTGTAGTTCCAGCTATTCGGGAGGCTGAGGTAGGAGAATCACTTGAACCTGGGAGGTGGAGATTGCAGTGAACCGAGATCACGCCATTGTACTCCAGCCTGGTGACATAATGAGACTCTATCTCAAAAAAAAAAAAAAAAAAAAGAATCAGTAGCACCAAATGGAATTTTAATAGAAATATTATTTTGCTACACTCTTTGTTGCCCTCCTAGCTAAATCAAGTTATCCAAGTTAATGAAATTTTCCACACCCAGAAATGTGGACAGGGCAGTTGGTGCCTGTCGGTAAACATAGTAAGTCTAGGATAACATATTTTTTCGTGCTTTTTTGAGTTTGTATGATTTTGAATGAGTTTTTTTCTTTCTTAATTTCAGCAGCACAGTCAGCAGCCTCCATTCAAGAGTTGATTCATTAGAAAAGTCAAATACTAAGCTGATTGAAGAGGTATTGTCTAATGGATAAATGTATTTCATGGAACTAGTGTTTGTGATCCTTTTCCATTTTAAGTATGAGTGCATTAAACATATGCACACACGAACATACACTCATCATTGTGATGCGATACTTGTAATACAGTTGTAACTGATGATTATAAGTTCTAGAGAAACTGTATATTCTTAGGCAAATCCTCAGTTATAAGAATCTGTGAGATACTACATTTGAAATACTCAACTTCTAAAAATGAGCCTCAGAGACTCTTCAGTAGATAAGCTGTGATTTTCATTTTAAAATCTGGATGACCTATATTTACCTAGTGTAATCACCTGTAGTTAGAAATTCTTGTTAAGTGCAGTAAACCACCATGGCACATGTATACCTGTGTAACAAACGTGCACGTTCTGTGCATGTATCCCAGAACTTAAAGTATAGTACAAAAAAAAATAATACACATTAAAAAAAAGAAATTCTTATTAAAACGATACCGTCCCTCTGTTCCACTGTTCCACTAGTCAGATTACTTTTCTTCACAGGCATCACTGCATGATCATGGTGACCTTTTTTCCACCATCCCAGGTGTAAAACTCATCCCATGTGCTCTGGTTTCTTATGTTGTGAAAGTAGCTATCTGGCGATCCCAGAGTGCATTTGAAGCAGACCCAGAAATTTATCTCAGCTCTCTTTTTTGTAGAGTTGCTTCTAGGTGTGTTGTTTTTTTTTTTAATCTATTAAACCAAAGAATTATTACTTAACATATTTTCAGAAATATTTAGGCTTCTGTTATTTGTATTGTGAACCCTATTTTCCGTGTTAATTAACATTCTCATTTCTTTTAAAATTGGCCCAATTTTTCCAAACCAAGGAACACATGATAATTTACATGACTGCAGTTAAGAATGCATCTTTATTTTGATGGTTGGGCTCCTGATCAGGACCATTATAGAGCTGCTCACTAGTTTGTGCCTCTTATTGACTTTAGTAGGACTGTGAAGTTCAGGTTGATCCCTGATAAAGTGTTCAGAAATGTGTTAATTGCAAACCATCATTAGGGAATGGTCTCTGCTTTGCTTTCATAGGATCTCTCTTTCCATTCTGGGCCTCAGGGTCCCACCACTTAATCATGCATGTTTAACTCATGGTGAGAATTGTCTCTTGTTTGTCATAGTCACTTAAGTTCCTGTTACATGTCCAGATTTCATGGGGTGTCCTACTCAGTTACCACAAATGTCTGTATTACATTTTTCAATGATAGCACAACCTCCTTTCCTTATATGTGTTTTTATATTTACACAAGTCTTTAAAGCCTTTGTTATTTAATGCATAATTCTCTATTTGTTTACTCAGAAACTTTGTATTCTGGACATACTGTAAATCATACAGTAAGCATAATATGTTTATTATAAGCATAACAAATTAGCCTAATGTGTTTCAACTATAAAAGAAAATAGGAATAGTTCAAAAGGAAATAAGAGTTTAATTTTTAAAATTGGTATCTTGGTATAATAACGAGCATATTTTTCTTATGAACGTTTCTTTGAATGTGACAGACCTTTTGCTAGTTGTGAGATTTTATTTTCTGTTGTTTATGGCCATGCACATAACCTGGAAAGCAAGTATAAGGGTGTTTAAAATCTTTTTTCTTGCCCGTTTCATAATTTTTAGTTAGCAATAGCAAAGAATAACATCATTAAACTCCAAGAAGAAAATCATCAATTACGAAGTGAAAATAAATTGATTTTAATGAAAACACAGCAGCACCTAGAGGTAAGTATAGACTGCTTTCAAGCAGACAATCTCATGTCAGAAATTACTATTTTTAGGGACTTTTGCATGAAGTAGGTATTTCTGTGCTGTATTAATAGTAGTGATTATAGAATGAAAAATTTTGTTTTCTTCCTAGGTTACCAAAGTAGATGTGGAAACTGAGCTTCAAACATATAAGCATTCTCGTCAGGGGCTAGATGAAATGTACAATGAAGCCAGAAGGCAGCTTCGAGATGAATCTCAGTTACGACAAGTAGGTTATATTGAAAATTATATTAGCAAAATCATCCTGGGAGTAATTTACTCTCTAGCAAGCACCATTTAAAATCTCTTTCAGCCTTATCCTTTTTGGTGTGGTATATAGCAAGTTCACCCCTTAATCTTCTCAAATTTTCTAAGCTTCCACTATATCAATGTTTTGCTGTTGTTTTGAGACGGAGTCTCACTCTGTCGCCCAGGCTGGAGTGCAGTGGTGCGATCTTGGCTCACTGCAGCCTCTGCCTCCCGGGTTCAAGTGATTCTTGTACCTCAGCCTCTCAAGTAACTGGGACTACAAGGCATGTGCCACCATGCCCGGCTAATTTTTGTATTTTTTGTAGAGACGGGATTTCACCATGTTGGCCAGGCTGGTCTCGAACTCCTGGCCTCGAGTGATCTGCCTGCCTTGGCTTCCCAAAGTGTTGGGATTATAGGCATGAGCCACTGCGCCCGGCGTATTATTGTTTTGAGACAGAGTCTCGCTCTGTCACCCAGGCTGGAATGCAGTGGTGCGATCTTGGCTCACTGCAGCCTCTGCCTCCCAGGTTTAAGCAATTCTTGTACCTCAGCCTCCCAAGTAGCGGGACTACAGGCATGTGCCACCATGCCTGGCTAATTTTTGTATTTTTTATAGAGATGGGGTTTTGCTATGTTGGCCAGGCTGGGCTGGAACTCCTGGCCTCAAGTGATCCACCTGCCTTGGCTTCCCAAAGTGCTGATATTATAGGCATAAGCCACTGTGCCTGACCTGTATCAGTGTTTTTTAAACTGTAAGTTACAATATGATTGTGAATGAATGGATTGTGACCAACGTTATAGTAAATGAAACAGAACAACATATTCAAATATTAGGAAAGTCATATTTAAAATTAACTTGTTTTTTAACCTTTGAAATTGTGAAATATAATGCCAACAGAAAAATATGAATATACAGCTTAATGAATTATAACGCAAATAACCTGTGTAACCACCACCCAGGTCAAGAAGAGAGAATATTGCCCATCTTTTTAATCATCTTTTCTCTTTGTCTTTAATGTTAATAAATTTCTTTTTCTTTCTTTTTTTTTTTTTTTTTTTTTGAGATGAAGTCTCCCTCTGTCGCCCAGGCTGGAGTGCAGTAGTGCGATCTCGGCTCACTGCAAGCTCTGCCTCCCGGGTTCACACCATTCTCCTGCCTCAGCCTCCCGAGTAGCTGGGACTACAGGTGCCTGCTACCACGCCTGGCTAATTTTTTGTATTTTTAGTAGAGACGGGGTTTCACCATGTTAGCCCAAATGGTCTCGATCTCTTGACCTCAGGATCTGCCCACCTCGGACTCCCAAAGTGCTGGGATTACTGGCATAAGCCACCTTGGCAGGCCAATAAATTTCTTAAGATAAATCATAAGAAACTTTTTAATTCTTCTGATAAAAAATTCTTAAGAAATTAAACTAGTTGCCCGGGTGTGGTGGCTCACACCTGTAATCCCAGCACTTTGGGAGGCCGAGACTGGTGGATCACAAGTCAGGAGATCGAGACCATCCTGGCTAACATGGTGAAACTGTGTCTCTACTAAAAATATATATATATAAAAAAAAACTAGCCAGTCGTAGTGGCAGGCCCTTGTAGTCCCACCTACTCAGGAGGCTGAGGCGGAGAATGGCGTGAACCTGGGAGACGGAGCTTGCAGTGAGCCAAGAATGCGCCACTGCACTCCAGCCTGGGCGACAGAGCGAGACTCCATCTCAAAAAAAAAAAAAAAAAAAGGAAATTAAACTGTGTTTTGAGTTACTTTGGCCTTTACTTGTATAGACCACTTCATTTCCTTTTGTTTAAGGAAAATTAATATTCAATTTATGAAGCACAAAAATGATTAATTCTTGTACCAGTAAAAGAGTAATGATTAACAGAATATAGAAAATGCTTTCATTTTAGCAAAAACTGCATTTGAAAATATTTACTTATTTTTTGAGACAGGGTCTTACTCTGTTGCCCAGGTTGGAGTGCAGTGGTGTGATTTTGGCTCACTGCAACCTTTGCCTCCTGGGTTCAAGTGATTCTCTCACCTCAGCCTCCCTAGTAGCTGGGACTACAGGCGTGTGCCACCACACCTGCCTAAGTTTTTGTATTTTTTTGGTAGAGACGGAGTTTCACCATGTTGGTCAGGCTGGTCTCGAACTCCTGACCTCAAGTGATCCACCCACCTCGGCCTCCCAAAGTGCTGGGATAACAGGTATGTGTCACTGCACCTGGCCCTGCATTTCAAAATGTTTATTGTGTTATTAGAGGGCCTGGTTGATTCCCTTTAGTGGACTTAAAAAGTGTAGTCTGTATATTGAATGGACAACCTTTCTTAAAGTATATCTAATTTTTACATCCTGAAGTGGCATGTGAATTGAGGATATATTGAAATTGCAGGATGTAGAGAATGAGCTAGCAGTACAAGTTAGTATGAAGCATGAGATTGAACTTGCCATGAAGTTGCTGGAGAAAGATATCCATGAGAAACAAGATACTCTGATAGGCCTTCGACAACAGCTAGAGGAAGTTAAAGCAATTAACATAGAGATGTATCAAAAGTTGCAGGTAAGGATTGTTCTTAAATTTCATTTTATGGAAATTGAAAGTGAATATTTGTAGAAAGGTTTTGGTTTTTAAGAGATGAGCCGATTTTAACTGTGCCGTATTAGTTATGAAGGCCAATGTCTTTTTTTTCTAAATGAAAGCTCTTAAATGTAATGAAAAAGGTATCAACAAACAAAATATCCCCTGTCTATCCCTGTCTAAATTTTTAATGTTGAAAGGTTAAGAGTATGAAGATTAAATCTTTTGGGAAAATTCTCAATTTAAACTACAAAACATTTTTGTGAACTTCCTTTTACAATGTAGTCCTAAGAAATATTTAATTTTGGTTGAGTGCTACACTATCATAATAGTAAATTTTCTTTTTTTTTTTTTGAGACAGAGTCTCGCCCTGTTGCCCAGGCTGGAGTGCAGTGGTGCGATCTTGGCGCACTGCAACCTCTGCCTCCCAGGTTCAAGCGATTCTCCTGCCTCAGCCTCCCTACTAGCTGGGACTACAGGCATGTACCAATACACCCGGCTAATTTTTGTGTTTTTAGTAGAGATGGGGTTTCACAGTGTTGGCCAGGCTGGTCTCGAACTCCTGACCTCAGGAGATCCGCCCACCTCGGCCTCCCAAAGTGCTGGGATTACAGGCATGAGCCACCATGCCTGGCCCATAATTGTAAATTTTCTAAGATGATATTGCTATTAAGTAGACTTATTGCCAAAATCCTTTATTTAATTAATTTGAAAAATATCATATTTTACAAGAATGTATTCTGTCATCTTCCAAAAATATTGAAGGTGGAATTTTTTTCTTTATTATATTTTCTTTTTTAAATTTTTTCTTTTTTTCTTTTATTTTCTGTAGAGATGAGGTCTCACTATATTGCCCAGGCTGGTCTCAAGAGATCCTCCCACCTTGGCCTCCCAAAGAGCTGGGATTACAGGTGTGAGCCACCACACCTGGCCTATTACATTTTAAATGAAGACTAATAGAGGCCAGGTGCCATGGCTCATGCTATAATCCTGGCAGTTAGGGAGGCCAAGATGGGAGGATTGCTTGAGGCCAGGAGTTTGAGACCAGCCTGGTGAACATAGCAAGACCCCATCTTAAAAAAAAACAGAAACAAAAACGACTAATAGCACTAATACACAAAAATGACTAATACACAATTATTTTATGTATAAAGTAACTCTGTTCATTTCAAAGTAACAGTCCCATAGCAAAATGGTGTAAGAAACTTATAAATACTCAGGTTAAAAGATGAGAACTCTACTTGGGAGGCTGAGAGGTGGGAATAGCTTGAGCCCAGGAGTTCAAACCCAAACTGGGCAGCATAGTGATACCCTGTCTATTAAAAAAAACCACACACACAGAAAAAAAAAGATCAAAAGCACTGTAGCTTTTGTTTTTATAAATAGGGTTCTGAAGATGGCTTGAAAGAAAAAAATGAAATAATTGCCCGACTAGAAGAAAAAACCAACAAAATTACTGCAGCCATGAGGCAGCTGGAACAAAGGTACAGCATTTCCAGTCTTAGTTTCTTTTTTAATTTTCTTTTCCCCTTTTTCTTTATTCAGTTCCGACACCTGCCACAAAAACCGTTAGGAAGATAGAGATTAGGACACGTTTTTTGTTTAAGCCCAGCAGGATTTTGTGTTTTTATTTTGGTTGTTGCATGGAATCAAGTTGCTTTATATTATGCTGAATCATTTGAAGTTGTCATATTGTAGATTTTTCTTAGAGGCCTAATATCAGTAGTTTCATGTTATTCAATTACATAAAACAAATACACAAATAAAAACGTCAAAAAAAAATAAAAATGAACAAACAGAGTGAGATTATCCCTAATTGATTTCCATGCATGTTAATTATTGTATTCTTTGCCATTCGCCATCTGTTTATATGAAATCAAGCATTCCGAATTGGTGGTTTAGTTTTGTTTCTTTGAGCTAGGACCCTCAACCCAACCGAAGATATAATTTTGTTTAAATTGAATTGTTTTATATTGGCATTTTTCACTTTTATTGTTGGAAAATGTAATGTATTTCCATTGCCCTGTCATGTTGGTGTCAACATATGTCTTTTATCATTGCTTTCTTTGAATCTATTTATGAAAAACATAACTATTAATGCTTTATTGACATGAATATTCTTTTATTGACATCCTCTTTCTTCTTTTTTCTTTTTTGTTTTCTTTATCCCCATTTTTACATTTTGGACATCTTTATTACCTTTTTCTGTCTTTGATTTCTTTCCATTCCATTATGAAGTGATAACGATTTGTTAACTCAAACTAGGACAATTGCAATGTCATTGGTGAAATGTGCCAGCAGTGACACGCAGGACCAGTACAAGCTGGTCAAAGATATATCTTTCTGAAGACCACTTGTATTTAAACAGACTAAATGAAAAGAGAATCAACAATTTTATAATACATTAAATAGAAAGGAGTCTATGCTACTAAATATTCTAAAAGGGTGTTAGGAACCCTGTACATTTCTTGGTCAGCTGCTATGGTAATACACTGCCATTAAGCAGAGTGGGTGCACTTGGATTTCTAGACATACATTCCTCAAACCTTGTGCACAAAGGGTGATTTGAGTATTGACCCTTTGGAGGTCAGAATTTTCAAATGCAGTTTTATCTTTTTAGCTACTTTTTGATGAAAAATATAAAGATTGTTTAAAAATAACTTAACCTTTGGTTTTATACTGCGTTGGCACAGATATTTTTTTCTCATTGGCCCACTCTTTGCCCAACGGTTCCCTTACTGATTTTTACATATGCTTCAAAATAACTTATAACCCAGACTGGCCAACATCCTGTGCTTCAGCTTCTCAGTTTCCCAGTTCTCCCTTGCCCTCTTCTGTGATAGCACAACTTCAAGGCCTACCTCACTCTTTTATTTTCTTTCTTGTAACCTTAGAGAAAAGCTTGGGTCCATCCCCAGCACCTGAATATTTTAATTTAATCTTAGATTTGGAGATAACTTGAATGATAACTCTCCTTTCCGTGGAAACAGCATTTATACCCCTGAAATATGTGAGGGTTGCTCCATTGGTATGGTTTTAAGGAAGAAAGGAAGAGGAAGAGTTTTTTTAGTTAGTTGAACCGAAATTTCTCTTGTGATTTCCTGCAAGGAGTTAATATCCTTTGAATCTTGGTAAATATTTTCTTATAAAAATATTGAAGTTAAATATAAGAAATCCTAGATGGCCAAAGAAGGCAGGGAGTGGAGCTAAGCACAGGAAAATGTAACGACTTACAAATAAAAACAGGAAAGATGAAAATCACAATATTTTAGCTAATTTTTAATATTAAATGGTGAGGAACAAAAATGATCTCTAGTGAATGATGCCAACTGGCACCAAATTCTTTTTGAATCTTAAACATGTATGCACACGTGCACACACACACATGCATAGAGCTTTGGCATAATTTAGTAAATGCATAAAGATGCTGTAAGAAGGAGTTGGCTCTCATTTGGAGTAATTGCAGGTCTTTGCTCTTGGCCTTGTAGCACACTTGATTCCTGGCATACACATCCTAGCTTAACATATAACAGTGTGGCTTCTTCACCTAGTGTAGGCATAAATCCTTTACTTTTCATGGTTTTGAAAAAAGGTAGTAACATACCTATTATGCTTTGAAATTTGATTCATTATGCTCTGCATAAGTGGTAAAGGCTGTATTGCTTTGCACTGTTAATTACGAACAAGAAATAAAACAAATTTGAAGATAGTATTCTGGGCATACTACATGTTATATTGACAAAAAAAATCACAGAACAACTTCTAGACATTGTGTGACTCTTTCACGTTTGAGTTTGTGAGTTTTTCCCCAAACTTTGTTTTCATTTAGAAATGTTTCTATTTCCCCATTTTTCTTTTATTTGTCTTCTTCACCCTTTTACACCCTAGTTCTAGCCTCAGTTTTACCCAAAGTTGATTTGAATTACACCAGATTGCAGCAAGCAGAGAAGGCGCAGATGGAAGCTGAAGATGAGGATGAGAAATATCTACAAGAATGTCTCAGTAAATCTGACAGTCTGCAGAAACAAATCTCCCAAAAGGAGAAACAGCTGTGAGTATTTCATTCTTAGAAACAAATACTTGTGTTAACATAACCCCCTCATTTTTTTGCACATGATGATAGAATACCAATATTTTTATTTATCTAATGATACCAGCTAGCTTTTAGTGTTTACTTTAAAAAACAAAAAAAGAGGCCAGGCGCGGTGGCTCACGCCTGTAATCCCAGCACTTTGGGAGGCCGAGACAGGGAGATCACGAGGTCAGGAGATCGAGACCATCCTGGCTAACATGGTGAAACTCCGTCTCTACTAAAAATACAAAAAATAATTAGCCGGGCGTGGTGGCGGGTGCCTGTAGTCCCAGCTTCACGGGAGGCTGAGGCAGGTGAATGGCGTGAACCCGGGGGGGCGGAGCTTGCAGTGAGCCGAGATCGCGCCACTGCACTCCAGCCTGGGCGACAGAGCGAGACTCTGTCTCGAAAAAAAAAAAAAAGAAAATATAATTGTAATAATACTTATGTTTTTACTCCCTTTATGATTTACAAAGTACTTTCAACTCTGTTTTGCTGTCTTCTTGCTCTAGGAGAGTTTTATTCATTCTTCTGTTATTTAACATTAATCTGATGGTCATTATATTTCTAGGTGCTGAGTATAATAGGCTTTTGTAATTACAAGAAACTTATATTATTAAAGGACATGCTGTTTTCTGAGAATATATATGTATATATTTTTGAGATGGAGTTTCACTCTTGTTGCGCAGGCTGGAGTGCAATGGCATGTGACCTCGGCTCACTGCAACCTCCACCTCCCAGGGTGAAGTGATTCTTCTGTCTCAGCCTCCTGAGTAGCTGTGATTGCAGGTGCCTGGCACCATACCCAGCTAATTTTTTGCATTTTTAGTAGAGACGGGGTTTCACCATGTTGGCCAGCCTGGTCTCAAACTCCTGACCTCAGGTGATCCACCTGCCTCGGCCTCCAAAGTGCAGGATTACAGGCATGAGCCACCGCAGCCCGGCCGAAACAAATTTTGTTTTAAATCAACTTTTTTTTTTTTTCGCTTTGAGATGGGTCTCCACGTCTTCGCCCCAGGCTAGAAATGCAGTGGCATGACCCTTGGTGGCTCAACTGCAGCCTCTGCCTCCTAAGTCATGCAATTCTCCCTGTTCTTAGCCTACTGAATAGCTGGGACACTACAGCGCTTATGCACCAAACCACCAGCTAATTCGTTTGTAATTCTTTTAGAGAGATGAAGTTTTCATGACGTTGGCCAGGCGGTCTCAATACTCCTACCTCAGGTTGATCTGCTCCACCTTGGCCTCCCAAGAGGTGACTAGGTATACAGGCATATGCGCCTGGTGGCTGGCCAACTTTTTTTTTTTTAATTTCTCTGATTTTTTTTTTTTTTTTTTTGAGACAGAGTCTTGCTCTGTCCCCTGGGCTGGAGTGCAGTGGCGCGATCTCGGCTCACGGCAAGCTCTGCCTCCTGGGTTCACGCCATTCTCCTGCCTCCGCCTCCTGAGTAGCTGGGATTACAGGTGCCCTCCACCACTCTCGGCTAATTTTTTTTGTATTTTTAGTAGAGACGGGGTTTCACTGTGTTAGCCAAGATGGTCTCGATCTCCTAACCTCGTGATCCATCTGCCTCAGCCTCCCAAAGTGCTGGGATTACAGGTGTGAGACACCGTGTCTGGCCAGTTGTCTTTAATTTTTTTTTTAACTTTTATTTTAGGTTTGGGGGTACATGTGAAGGCTTGTTACTAGGTAAACACGTGTCATGGGGGTTTGTTGTGTATATTATTTTATCACCCAGGTATTAAGCCCAGTACCCAATAGCTATCTTTTCTGCTCCTTTTCTTCCCCCCATCCTCCCCACTCAGATAGAACCCTGTATCTGTTATTTCCTTCTCTGTGTTCATAAATTCTTATCATTTAGCTCCTGAACATTTTTTTTTTTAAATTGTGGAAATGGAGTCTTGCTATATTGTTCAGACTGATCTCTAACTCTTGGCCTCAAGCGATTTTCCTGCCTCAACTCTCAAAGTGTTGGGATTACAGAAGTGAGCCACCATGCCCAGCTTCTGAGAACATTTTTATTAGTACTTTGCATGATCTATATATCACCAACCAGGAAGGATGTTAGTATATGTCATTGTGCTGAAAAAAAGCAAGTTGCAGACAGTATGCCAAATGTGATTCAATTTTAAAAGCAAAATTAAAACCATGTATGCATATATATTTATACATAGAAAAGATTTTAAAGAATACAGATTCTGAGGAGTGGTTATTTCAGGTGAATGCTGGCAGGTTGAGGTTGACGGGGACATTTTAGTTTTATTTTATAAATATCAGTATTTTTGCCCCAGTTAATATGTACCAATTCTGTTATTAAAAGAAAACAACAGTAAGAACAAACAAATAAAAAAAGCAACAATGGAAAGTAGTTATTTATTATATTAACAGATCATTAAAACAAGACCACATGCCATGTATGAAGTATAAGTTGCTAAGCTGCCTTTATACCCATTGAAGTGTTTGTTAAGTTCTTCTCTATCCTTGGTGATTTTCTGTCTAGTAGTTTTTAATTATTGAGAGAGAATTTGTTGAAATATCAAACTGTGATTGTGGATTGGTATATGTATTTTTTCAATTCTGTTTTTGCTTATTATATTCTAAAGCTCTGTTATTTGATGCCTACATATTCAGGACTGTTAATATATCTTTTTGGTAGAGTGACCCTTTTGTCATTATATGATGTACTTCTCTGGTAATTTTTTTTTGCTCTGAAGTTAATTTTTCTGATATTTATATAGTTACTCCTGCTTTCTGTTGATTAATGTTTGTATTTTTCCTTTTTTTTTTTTTTACTTTCAGTGTACCTTTGTAATGTTTGAAGTTTCTTTTTTTTTTTTTTTGGAGAGACAGGATCTTGCTGTGTTGCCCAGACTAGCCTTGCACTCCTAGCTTCAAGTGATCCTCCCACCTTTGCCTCCCAAAGTGTTGGGATTACAGGTGTGAGCCACCATCCCCGGCTTGAAGTTTCTTTTCCTTTTTTTTTAAGACAGAGTCTCACTCTGTTGCCCAGGCTGGAGTGCAGTGGCATGGTCATAGCTCACTGCAGCTATGACTCAAGCAATCCTAGGCTCAAGCAATCCTAGGCTCAAGCAATCCTCCCAACCTCAGCTTGCAGAGTAGCTGGGACCTTAGGCGTTGTGCCATCATACCCAGCTAATTTATTTTTATTTTTATTTTTTAGTAGAGAAAAGGTCTTGGTATGTTGCCCATACTGATCTTGAACTCCTGAGCTCAAGTGATCCTCCCACCTTGGCCTCCCAAAGTGTGGGATTACAGGCATGAGCCACTGCTCCCAGCCTGAAGTTTCTTATAGATAGCATATAGTTCATGTTTTGTTGTTGTTGTTATTTGTTTTTTAGAGACAGGGTCTTGCTTTGTTGCCAGGTTGGAGTATAGTGGTACCATTATAGCTCATTGCAGCCTCTAATTCTGGGCTCAAGAGATCCTCCTGCCTCAGCCTCCTGAGTAGCTAGGACAACAAGCATGTGCCACTGCACCTGGCTAATAAAACAATTTTTTTTTTAAGAGATGGAGGTCTTGCTATGTATCCTAAGCTGGTGTGGAACTCCTGGCCTCAAGTGATCTCTCTGTCTCAGCCTCCTAAAGCATTTGGATTACAGGCATGAGCCATCGTGCTTGGCCTGCTTCATGCTTTTAAAATCAATTCTCCCAACTCTGTCTTTTCATAGTATGTTTAGTCCATTTATATATATTGTAATTATTGATATAGTAGAGCTTAAGTCTGCCATTTTGTTGTTTAATTTGTTTTTCCTATTTGTTGTTCCTCTGTTTAATTTTTCCTGCCTTCCCATAAGTTACATGAACATTATTTAGAATTCTGTTTTGATTTATCTGTAGCACTTTTGAATGCATCTCTTTGTATAGATTTTTGGTGTTTGCTGTGGACATTATATTACACATATGCTATTTTTCCACAGTCTGTTGGCATTAACATTTTACCACTTTGGATGAAGTGTGAAAACCTTACCTCTATTTAAGTATTCATACTTTCTCCCCTCTTTAATATAATTTGCTTAATGATCTCTTTTACATATATTGGGAATCATGTTAGACAATGTTGTAATATGTTGTGCAACCATAAACAGAATTTAATGTTTAAATTTAATCTAATTTAGAAAACTTCATTATTCTTTTTTATTCCTGAAGCTCCAGGTTTTTTTGTGTGTGTCTGAACTTTCTTTAAACATTTTTTTTTTTTGTTTTTTTGATACAGGGCTTGCCTCGTCAGCCAGGCTGGAGTGCAGTGGTGATGATCACAGCTCACTGCAGCCTTGATTTCCTGGGCTTAGTAATCTTCCCATCTCAGGCTCCTGAGTAGGCTGAGACTACAGGTGCATATCACCACACCTGGCTAATTTTTGTATTATTTTTTTTTTTTGGTAGAGACGGGGTTCTCCCATGTTGCCAAGAAAATCTCGATTCCTGGGCTCAAGTGATCAGCCCACCTTGGCCTCTCAAAAGTGCTAGGGATTATAGCCGTGAGCCATCGTGCCTGGCTCTTTTTTTTTTTTTTTTAAGAGAGAGGCGTCTCACTGTGTCACTGAGGCTGGAAATACAGTAGTGTGATCATGGCTCACTGCAACCCCTCGAGCTCCTGGGCTCAAGCAATGCTCTTTGCCTTACCCTCCCAAGTAGCTGGGACTATAGGCATTAGCCCATCATGCCCAACTAATTAAAAAACTTATTTTATTTTTTTTTTGAGGATAGGGTCTTATTTCTCTCTCGCCCAGGCTGGGGTATAGTGGCGTGATCATAACTCATTGCAGCTTTTGACCTCATTGGGCGCAAAGGATCCTCCTATCGCCTACCTCCGTCAGGCTAGCTAGGATGGTAGAGCATACCACTCCACACCTGGCTTAATTTTTATAAGGGACAACCGAGGACTGTTGCTATCGTTGCCCAGGCTGGTCCTTGTAACTCCTGGCCTCAAGCCAGTCCCCCTGCCATGATGCTTCAA